GGCGTCCGAGGTGCTAAACGGCTCACGGCGAGGTGTTGTATGTACAACGTAAGAATACTGCGATACGAAACGGTAGGCGTTCGCAAGACTTTCCTTATCAGACAACATCGCGATAATTTTCAATGATAAAATAACATGAAAAATTAATATAAAGCTACGGGCGAAAAATGCAACGCTTATATATTTAAATATAGGTATCAATATTTTATATCAATATAGCTTAAAAAGAAATAATAGTATGGAATTATGTGTCGATTTTAAAATATGTATTTTTAAAATAAAATATGTATTTTTAAAATAAAAAAATATATATATATTAATCTGTTAAATTGGATAACTTTTATCTCTTATTCTTCTAATGTTTTGTATCTGTCTACAATATTGACAGTTTAGGAAGTCTAAAATTTGATCTACGTTCTGGTTCTAGGTAAGATTCTCACACAACGTCGCCTAATTTGAACAGAGGAACTCGTAGCCGCAGGCGGCTTTTTGCGCGGACTACGAAGCGTGGAATTAACCGGTGCTTCCCCCTTTTCTAAAACCAACACGTAATTATCTCACCGGCGGTTGCGTTCGGCAATTCCTTTCGCCCTGGCCTCTTTTTCCGCCGACAGGTTCGGCAAACGACGATACCCGATATTTACATGGCAGGTGATATCAATTATCGCCCGTGAGCCGCCAATGCCCCGAAGCCGAGATTGCGGCCGAATCCGAAGTCTTGAATGGTTCCTCACCAATTTGCTCGATTCGCGCCTACGTCATTTTTTTCGTATCGCTCTAGTATAGTTTGCGCGATGTACCATAACTAGTGGTTTCGTCGACCATTGCAACGGAATCACAAACTTGCATAGCAGAAATCAATGATGAAGGAACGCACTGTGTGATTTCCCCTCCTGGAATTTCTGTTCTTGAACATAATTCTGCAGAGATTCTCAAATGCGCATTTGCAGATTAGTATAAACGATGAAATAAGATAGAGGAATCATCATTCCTAAGATATATGCCATTGTGACTCTCTTATGAGAAAAATATAAAAAAATAACTTTAATAGACATGTCAATCAATGCTTTTCAAACGCAAACGATGTCCGGTATTAACATACTTTAGAGGAAGGAAATTGCGGACCCCCAAGAATGTTCGGAGGGACAACGAGACGAATTTTTTTGTTTCCTTCGAAACTGGGCGTAACGTTCCGTTGCAGCTGAAGCAAACGGTGACTCGATAAGCACCGTGATGGTCCCCCGAGGCAAAAACAAATAATAATTCGCCCACGAGAGGCCCTCGGTTAGCTACAACGTCCGGCTGTGGTGCCGATCTCTTGCCTTATTTGCAGGCGACTATCGCAATTTTGAAAATGGTTGTCTCATCACGAAGGGAGAGCCCGGTCTGGGACGTTGTCGATTACAGGGCGCGCCAATGCTCGCCGTATTTCGGTGTTGGTTTTCGAGCCTTTTGTGTTAAAAAGACGCACGTAATCATCCCCCCTCTTTCCTGTCCCCTTCGATACTTTTGCGAACACGTAGAATCGGGTAGGGATCCAACAAAGTGGGGAAAGAACGCCCATAGTCTGCCCCCCTTTCGCTCATCTCGTGCCGCTTCCGATCGCCCCCAGGGCTCGCAACGAGCCGACTGGCCGACTTTTTGCCACATCGCGAGCTTAGCATAGGGAATCATCAAGCGTATACTTCGACAACAGGTGTCGGGGTGGCCGGTTTTCGAACGAGTGCGCGAAATTGCAGACTCGCGCCGCCGTTGCCGCCGCCGCCGTCGCCATCAAGTCGGTCGCGTGAGTGACTTTGCATGCACACGCGATTACGCGCTCGTGAACGACGAGCCCATGTCCGGGCGTCATTGCGCGGTTCTGTAACGGAGGTGCAATTCATCCGAGGCAGTGTGACAGCTTTATTTAAGAGCCGGCGGTGCCAAGAATAAAAGGGAACATTAATCTTGAAGAAAATGACTGTTTTCAACGAGCAAAGATCGATATGTTCATGAAGATTATATAAATCAGTAAAGATTATTCATAAAAAGTTATATCTTTACGCTGATTTCGCATGATTTAAATACACAACTATTTTGCAATGTTTTTCGTTATATGTTTTAATATAAAATGAAAGGACTTCTTCGAATTCATGAAAAGTAATCTTTATGCTGATTTTGTATGATTTAAATATACAATTGTTTTGCGGTATTTTGTCGTATTTCTTGACAAAAAATAAAAATCTTCCTTGAATTCATAAAAAGTATTCTTTACAAACTTATTTCGCACGATTTAAATATTCAATTGTTTTGCGATGTTTTTATTACATTTACCATTGCGATTTTTTATTACATTTCTTGACGTGCATAAAATGAAAAGATTTTTTCGAATTGGTGGCCTTTAACGAAATACGAATTTACAAAATCATACGAGAAATAATCGTAGAGCGATTTTCAAAAAAGTATCTTTAGGCCTAAATACTCTGCTTTCACATCCTCTTCAATTTTGTTGAAGAGCACACTTTTTTTTACGTTATTACGAATTTAAGTGCATCGAAGGAGCATCGTCGAAAAAAGAGTAATTTAGTACCTTCGGACGAGAAGGGAATTTTTCGGCCGCGTTACGCTACGAAACGGGGGCTAAACGCGTGGTTTGTTTTATGATTTATAGGATTTGTCATTGCGTGACCACGGACTGCGGAAAGGCGAGCCGTTGTTAGCGCGACACGCCGACAAAAGAATGCACGCACACGCGCGCACCTGTGCACCATCAGGCGGAAATTGCGAACGCTTCGTCGGACCTCAAGTATGTTTTAAAAAGATGCGATCCGTTTTTGCACGCCAAATCGGTTTGTCCGCAGAAACGTCCTCCGCTACGTCCAAACGTGTAAGCCAAAAATGGGCTCGTTTGGGCCACAGCAGAACGAAAGAGCGAGGGAAGACAGGGGAAGCCAGGAAGTGATTCGATGAGACAAAAAGGTTGAGCACAGCTACAAATTCGTTTCTCAGCAAAGTGGCAGCTGTGCTCACGGTCGTGGCCGTATCAGCTTTTGAATCGCGATAATAAAGATGGTACCGGTGACGTATGTATTATTGATGAATTCACATTTATCAATTTTTTTATACATTCTCCTTTAACATGCATTTTTTTATAACCTGGGACTATATCGTTTCCAGCGCTTTAAGTGCATATGTACGAGATAATTGTGTGCAGACGCTTATGAAACTTAAATTGCTATCATTGCAATCGGAAACGCATATCGACGTATCCAGTAATTTTATAATTAAATATAAAACATGAGTTTATGTCATACATTTATTTATTATTGAATTAATTTATCATCCGATGACACATAATTATCTGTTCGTTACCAAACGTAAAGCTTTAATGAGTGTTTATAAATATAATTTTCGTTGGATGTGTATCTCTTCTCCATTAATATGCTGTGGCAAAACTTTGAGAAGCAGCGTCATAAAAATGGAAAAATAAATTACATGGCCGCGCGACTCACGATTAAATCGTGACGGAAGACGAGACGAAGGATGGACCATGTCCCTCTCCCCCCCCCCCCCCCCCGCCC